TTCTATTCTATTCTATTCTATTCTATTCTATTCTATTCTATTCTATTCTATTCTATTCTATTCTATTCTATTCTATTCTATTCTCATTCCACTCCACTCCACTCCACTCCATTCCATTGATTCTTGGTGCAGTAGTTAGAGGGCAGTACTGCAGGCTACTTCTGCTGACTGCCAGCTGCCAGCAGTTCGATTCTAACTGGCTCGAGGTTGACTCAGGCTTGCATCCTTCCCAGGTCGGTCAAACGAGGAGAATAGATCGAAACACCCCCTCCCCGGTCCATGTCTGTCTTCTCTTGATAAATTTAGCTCTCCTTTTCCAGTGTGACTCGCCTGTTCTGCTCGGTCCACCTCACACTGGTGTAAAGCTTCATCCAGGTCTCGAATCCACTGCCTTCTTTGCTGGGTCTCTTGGAAAAGATGGGCCCACATTTTCTCAAAGTCCTGGAAAGAAGGGATGCACCGTAACACCACAACATTCACAAGATGTCAACTAAAAAGATACTCCTTTGGGCTTTTCAGTTGCCAGCAGAAAGGGAGTGGGGGAAAGCAGTGCATTCCTTAAATGCCTCAGATAATCGCCTGGGCAGCCAAAGCTGTTGGCATGCAAGATTATTACTGCAGAGCCTGATTGATGACTCTTGGCTATGGATGTGTCTCATTGGACAATATAATCCAGGGGGTGGGGGGGAAGGCCAGGGTCAAGGGAGAAATGAATGATGTATTTTAGTGTCAGCTGCACCCAGCTAACACCAACATGGCTACTCCTAATAAAACAGTTTTTTTTTACTCTGAGGGGTGTGGCTAGAGACTTATGATTTGAATGCGGATGGACTTGTTGGAGCCCTGACACAAGGGAAGTCTTCTAACCAAGCGGCAAAACGACATTTATTTTTATTTTTTTGCAACGGGACTTTGAGGAAGCTAATCACATGTTCCTCTTCTCTTTCTCCCTTTTATTCTGGGGAAAGGCAGGTTTAGGATGAATAGTTTTCACTTCAGCTTTCCATGGAAAAAACGTCTCTTACCAAGTTACAGGTAGCCTTCGGCTTATGATGACAATTTCTGTTTGCTAAGCAAGAAGGTTAAGTGAATTTTATCCCCCATTTGACGACTTTTCTTCCCACAATTGTTAAGTGAACCACTGCAGTTATTAATGTCCGGATTCCAACGTCCTACCTCCCCACTGTGAGACAGACTGTGCCATAAAGATCATCCAAAGCCGAGACACCCCAGGAAATGCAAGAAATGAGCAAATATATGGACAAAAACCTAGCAAGGGGGTTCATTGAGCCAGCCAAGCCATGAGTTGCAGCCCCAGTCCTGTTCAAAGAGGAAAAAAGATGCGACTCCCGCTAGTCACATGGCTGTTAAACGAAAATGGATTTTTACTTGTTGGAAGGTCAAATTTAATTTATTTGATTCTTTTGGTTACTTTTATTGTTTTTTATTTTTATTTTTTGTTTTAAATATGGTTTATACATTGTGTAAACCGCCTCGAGTCGTCATGGGCGAATAGGCGGCAATATACATTAAATAAATAAATACATGAAATTTTCACGGAAAATGGAGAAAAGTGGCCTGGGATCAAACTCCACATTGGCTTGATTTTGCTCCCAACGTGGGAAAAATTAAGCAGTAGCGACCAAGATTTTTTTTTTTTGGGGGGGGGGGGGGTAAGGAAGCATCTGCTTACCTCTATAGTGTAGGGGATTAAAGTGATGTCGCTTTCAGACATACGAAAAAGGGCTTCAAAAGCCTGATCCGATTCTTGTAGCTGGATCAACAAAAATTTCCCATGCTTCGCATAGCATTCTTCAATTTCCTGAAAACAAAGGGGTTTTTCTTTTGTTTTGTTTTTTCCTGACAGATGAAACAGAATCCAGCTTGGGTTCTGACATGATTACAGGTACAAATTCGAACTGAAATGCCTTTCGTTTAAGCTGAGACACGATCGAACCAGATTTCCATTTTGGATGGCAATTGTTAAGTGAATTTCGCAGTCATCAATCCAAACCCATTCATCTGAATGGGTTTGGGTTTGTTTTTTGCCCTTTAAACGATTGGTGGACTTACCTGTAAGAAGGACGAATAGAAAAATCCGGCTCGAGCTTAAAACGGCCTAGCCTCACCTTTCCGACACATGCTAGTTCCTGCTTGAACTGGGCCACAACTTCTTCGTAACACAACTTTTTGTTTTCGTAGATACGCTCCACGATGTCGCTGGTTCTTTTATCTGAAACTGAGAGGATGGATTTCGGACAGAGATCAGGGCTAAGCCCCGGTTTGTCTCAAGCCTTAGGCACAAATGCCTTTGGGCCAACCACTAGGAGTCTGGAAGCTCTAGTCCTGCCTTAGGCATGAAAGCCAACTGGGTGACTTTGGGCCAATCCCCAGGAGACTGGGAGTTCTAGTCCTGCCTTAGGTGTGCAAATCATCTGGATACCTTTGAGCCAGTCCCTCTCTCTTAGCCCAACCCACCTCCCTGGGTTGCTGTTATGGGGAAAATAGGAGGAGGAAAGAGCATTAGGTTCTTTCATTGCCTGGAGTTATTTATAAAAATAATAAAAGGAATAATTTAATAATAAAAGAAATCTTTAAAAACCGGCAAGATTCTTCTTCCGTCATCCTAAATGGTGTTTTGCAACGATATAACTAAATATTTTTTTAAAAAAATGAGCTTTCAGTTCAGCCCAAACGGCAACTTGACAAAATTAAAAGTGTTAATATTTACCAATGACATCGGCAAGGCCTCTGACTTCCCGCGCAGCGATTACACTCTCGCTTTCTTTAGCCTTCGCACGTGCCTGAGTCACAGCCTCCCTGCAACAGGAAAGGGAAAACTTTGCTCTCAAGTTCCGACCACCCTTGAGCCCAACATTCCTGTTGGTAAGCGGGACATGTGTTGGGTGACTTTTGTCTCATTTTACGATCTTTTTTTTGGGGGGGTGGGGGGGCGCAGTTAGTAAGTGAATCACTTGCCGTTGTTAAGTTAGTCACATCTGGCTCTCCCCTTGTTGACTTTACTTGTCTGAAGGTCGCAAAAGGGGGCTCACGTGACCCCGGGAACACTGCGACCGTCGTAAATACGAGCCAGTTGCAAAGAGTCCTAATTTTAATCACGTGACTTCAATGGTTGCAAATGTGAAAAACGGTCCTCAAGTCACTTTTTTTCAGTGCCGTTGCAACGTCGAACGGTCACTAAATGAACTATTGTATGTTGAGGGCTCTTTGTCCTTAACAGCTGCAGTGCTTCGCTTAATAACCATGGCAGAAAGTAAAATCGAGCGTGACTCGCTTAAAAACCACTCTGCTTAGCAACAGAAATCCCGGCCTCCAAATTCTGCTCATATTGACCTTCCTTACTTGTATTGCACTGGGTTTTCAGTGAGCTGATCGTTGGGCATTGCCTTGCTCCAGATCTCTTGGCGCTCGGACAAGAATCCATAGCTGGTCCTTCTTTCCAAATCCCTCACCAACGGGATCTTTCCTGGAAGGACTTTGTGCTGGGCGATCTTGTTCCTAGCCCGCCCCAGAGCATGCACCAGGTTGATCTTAGCAAAGCAAAACAGAAAGGGAAAAAAAAATAGAAGTGACTGTGATTATTATTATTATTAATATTATTATTATTACTACATTTATTTACTACCCATCTTGCCACAGGGATACTCTAGGCAGCTCCCAACCATGAACCAAAACAAAGAAGTAAAAAGAAAATGTAAACAAAACAAATAAAACAAACAAGGAAAACACAATTTTCTGCAATTCCACCCAAACACGTTTACACACACACACAACCCCTCCCCACAACGTCCCCTCCCGCCTCTCCATCCTTGCCAAGCTAAAGAGGGCCTATTTTGACCCAGGAGGCCCAGAAGCCGAGGTGGCGGGAGGGAGCCCTTTCCCTCTTGGTCCCTTCCCGTCTCTTTGCACCTCGTCGTCGAAGATCTGCCTGTAGACCTTCCCGCTGGGCAGGACCCGGGCGACCCCCACCGTGGTGGTGATGGGAAGCCCGTGGGAACTCTTGCTGGATTTGCACATGGCGGGGCGCTTCCCGGGTTTAACTAAAGAAACAAACGGAAGAAAGTCAGCGGCGGTTAGGAACGAGGAGAATGCAAATATTCTCTCTCTCCCTCCCCTCCGCCCGACATTCACAAGGCCACCTCCAACACGCGTCTGCGGTTTCCATGGTAACCCCGGGCGCGGTGGAGGGAGAGCGACCTAATTCTCGCGAGAACCCGCGGGAATCCCGAGCCGGCTTTCTGGTCCTCTGGCCGTTGCCTGGAGACGCCAGCGTTGCTAGGGCAGACGGGAAAGAGCGCCGGGGTGATGCTCTTGTGCTCCCAGTTTACCTTTCCCCCCCCCCCTGGGGGAGAATCAATAACTGCAGGAATGAATAAATTTATTAAATTTATTGGCTCTCTCCATCTTTCCATGGGGTAGCCATTGTCTTTCCCCTCCCCATCCCTTGCATCGAACGAGTTTGGCATTGCTAGAAATGTGCCAAAAAACGATGCATTTCACCCATTTTGCATCACGCATGATGGGGCTGAAAACAGATTATTCTTCAGACTAAGGTGGGAGTGGGCTGATTCCAAGCTTGCCAGAGCTCCTGCCTTTGATTTTTTTTGCTACCGAAGTAAAATCTGCCCAAAGCCCAATGCAAAAGACAGACCTTTGTGCTCACTGACAAGCCATCACACATACAAATGTTTGGATTCAAAGATGCTTTACTTTGGCGTATCAACCTTGGATAGAGAAGTGTGCGTTTCAGTGAAGACTACTGAAAACAGGATAGAGTGAGCTAGGTTCAACTCAAGTGTGAACTGCAGCTACCCAAATAAGCCACTGCAATCCTAGGCTGCATTAACAGAAAGGTAGAATCAAGATCACATGAATACCACTTTATAATGCCTTGATAAGAACATACATGGAACATTGCATCCAGTTTTGGTTGCCACAATGTAAAAAAATGTTGAGACTCTGGAAAAGAGTGCAGAGAAGGGCAATTAAATTATTGGGGAGCTGGGGAGGCTAAAACATATGAAGAATGGTTGCAGGAATTGGGTATGTCTAGTATTGTGAAAAGGAGTAGGGTTGATATGATAGCAGTGTTCCAATATTTGAATGGCTGCCACAAAAAGAGGTCTAATCAAGGAGAGATTCAACCTAGAACTAAGGAGGAATTTCCCGACAGTCAGAACAATTAACCAGTGGAACAGCCTGCTTTCAGAAGTTGTGGACCATCACTGGAGGTTTTTAAGAAGAGATTGGATAGCCTTTTTGCCAGAATAGTAATAGTATAAGTCTCCTGCTTGAGCAAGGGGTTGGACTAGAAGATCTCCAAGATCCCTTCCAACTCTTGTTATTCTGTTATTCTTTTGTCCTGACGGATGAATACCCCATATTTCCAACAAACATAGCCAAAAGAATTATCCCCAAGCCAGCTCCTGACAAAATCTGCATCCTGTAATATGTTTAATATGCCAATTAAAATCTAGGAACTTACAAAATATCCATGTTTGTTTACTTTTCAACACGTTGTACAAATCTTAGGTTGGTTTACAGTAAATCAGTTCCAAATACCAAATAATATACCAAACCAAGACAATAGGTTAAATCGCCAAGCAAGCCAAGAATGCAGACCAGGATAGAATGTTCCCTTCCTTGCTTCAATTTATTTCCCAGATTAAGAGGATAAATATCATCCTTTCACCCCACAATTCTACATAATGGGATTTTTAAGTCTCGCGCCCTAAAACAGGAAAGGATAATTTGATAACAGCAGGAAAGAGGCAATCAATTCTGGTTGAGAAAGAAGTATCTGCCATCCTTGAGGTCCTCCTCAAACCCAGGGTTGACCCAAACAGACTTGGTTGCATCATCTCCATGCCCTGTCAGCTTGAAGGAAAATCTTCGTGGATTCTCTAACACCCACCACATTGTTCAAAAACTCAAGTTTCATTTAGGGCCAGCTTTCTTGAGATCTTCAGGAAGGATGCGGCCTTTCTTCCGAGCTTTAGCCTTCTTCTTCTCAATCCTGGCCAGCTTCTTCTGCTGGATGTTCTTGCGACGTTTCTCTTGTCGCTGCTGCATTCTCTCTACCACTTGTTCTGTCCGCTTTTCCCACTTCCTCTGACGCTGGGCTTTGCGCTTCTCCTTGCGTTTCAGGGCGGCCTTCAGCTTCTCTTCATCATCGCGGATCTTCACACCTTCTGCTTTGTAAAGGACATTGGTCCACTGCATCTTTGCCTCCAACTCCTTTGCCTTCTCCTCATCTTTGGCCTTCAACTCTTCCAGCTTGGTTTTCCGAGATTCCAGACGGTTCAAGAGTTGTTTATAATTCTTGCCGGTCAGTGGTGTTATGTTGCCTTTAATGGATTTTCTTTTATCCTCCTTCTTCTTCACTTTGTTCGGCTCCTCTTCTGCGCCGACCTCCACGTTATTAAACAAGATGTCAGGCTTGCTCTCTGCCTGCTGGGTCTCTGAAACCACGGTGGACGAGGCCTCTTCTGCGGTTTCCTTCTCCAATTTCTCCTTCATTCTGAACTCTTTCCTCCGACGTTTCTTTCTCTCTCGTTCGTATTTCCTTCGCTGGCGCTTCTCCAGCACAGAGGGTGACAGAGCTTGGGTACTAGCCTGCAAGAAACAGGAAACAATCCAAAACATCATTTTGACTTACTCTACACAAGTGGCCAACCTCGTACCTAGTGCAATAACTCCAGAATTTCCACCCCCAAAGACCCAAATTTGGAAATTCTGAGAGCTGCCATGTGTCCAACATCCATCAATCCTAGAAATTCAACCATGTACTTATGTAATTAGCTAAATAGAAGTTTCTCATATTCTGGTTTCCATCATTGATTTTGCTTGTCGAAATTAAGTCATTTGTTAAGTGAATTTTGTTCCGTTCTACATGACTTTTCTTGCCAGTTGTTAAGCGAACCCCTGCCATTTTTAAGGGGATCACGTGACCCTAGGAACTGCAATAATCATAAATACAAGTGTCTGGGTTTGATCACATGACCAAGGGAAAGTTGCAATGGTCGTAAGTGTGAAAAACACATGACCAAGGGAAAGTTGCAATGGTTGTAAGTGTGAAAAACGGTCATAAGTCACTTTTTCAGTGCCGTTGTAATTTTGAACAGTCATTAAACGAACTGTTGTAAGTTGAGGACAACCTCTATTTTAAATACTCCCCACAAGGGTGTGAAAAGATAAGGAATGATTGCACTACCTGTCCAGAGGTCAATGGTTATACTCCCAGACAAGTGATATAAGCTAGAAGGTAAAATTGAGAATAATACTCATATTCCTCTGGACCTGGAAAGCTAACTTTTTAAAACTTATGTCTCCATCCTACCTTCCCAGATATTTCTTCAATTTTGTTGTGTAGCCTCTGCCGCAAGAAATCCATTGCGAAATTCGTGGCTGGTGCCTTTTTACTCCCTGGGTAGATAAAAAACAACCACCAAGATTAAAAATTATGGCCCACCCATGCAACACACTACAAGCCCTTCTTATTTTCCTCACGACAATCCTGTAAGGTTGGTTGGTCTGAGAAAGAGAGGGACTGGCTCAAAGTCAGCCAGCTGGCTCTCATCCCGAAGGCGGAACTAGAAACTTGCCGTCTTCTGGTGATCGGCACAGTCACCCAGGCAGGTTTTGTGCCAAAAGCGGACCAGAACTCACCATCTCCTAGTGTTTGTCACAACCGGTTTTCATGCCTAAGGCAGGTCTAGAACTCAGTCTTCTTGTGATTGGCCCAAAAATCTAGCCAGCATTCATGCCTAAGACGGGACTAGAACTCTCATTCTTCTAGTTTATAGACCAGCATTTTCATCATTAAACCAGACTGGCTCATTTCCCCCTTTTATCACATTCTTACCTGTAACACCAGGTGTTACTGACGTGTCTTTCCCATTTCTTTCCTCTGCATTGGTACCAGGTGTGATTGAAGTAACTGACTTCTTAACATTGGAGCCTGCTGGTTTGGCTGGCGACACTTGGCTGAATTCGCTCCTAGAAGCCCCCACTTTATTTTTATTTTTCTGATTTCTTTCTTTCTTCTTCTTCTTCTTTTTCCTGGGCTGAGCGCTATCATCCCTCAACTTGCTTCCAGGCACTCCTTTGAAAACAGACCAATGAATTTATTATTCATTTAATTTAATTAATTAAATGATCAGAAAGAGATAGAAAAAAACCCCAGTGACTTGCATAGAAAGCTGCAATTTGAGCTTTAAAAGGTTTTTAATCTCTGAGGCAAATAACCCCATGTCCTCTACCCCAGGGATCCCCAACCTTTTCGACGCCGCGGCCCGGTTCCGGCGTCAGCTGGGCGCCGCGGCCCGGTTCCGGCGTCAGCTGGGCGCCGCCATCTTTTTTTGACGAAAAATTGCTTTTTTTACCAAAAAAAGATGGCGGCGCCCAGCAACCAGCGGCCCGGTAAGGCTTGTTCCGCGGCCCGGTACCGGTCCGCGGACCGGCGGTTGGGGACCCCTGCTCTACCCTACCCTTCTAAAAATAACAACTTTATTGTTCTATCAGAATCTTTCTTCGAACGCCCAGAATCCCTCAATAGCAAGACGGGAGGCATATACATTTAATCCATAAATAATAAAATAAAAACTAAAATTAAATTAGTGGGGAAAACTCAGGGCGTGACTCTTCTGCGTTCCAGGATAAAACAAGGAGGTAAATTGGTGTATCAGAAATCATACCAAACGTCCTTTTCAGCGGTTCACGGAGTTCCTGGGTGCAAATCTTCTTCGCCAGAGTTTGCAAGTAAAAATCCGTGGCAACTAGGCTGGCCATTTTAGAGCAAGATCAAACCTGATTTTCTCCGGAGGAAAAACGCCTCTGAAATGATGAGGGTTTCACATTGCCTTTCGGCCCTTCATCCGTTTTGCCACTGAGATGAAATCCTGTACAAAGAGACAACAACTGATGAACAATTGGGGGGGGGGGGTAGTTTTATTGTGAAGCCAGGAAGCTGGTCTTTGCATTTTTTTAAAAATGCTGAGGAAAGATTCCATTAATATTTTTAAAGACTTAATGTCAACTTAGATGAATGTTAATATCTATCATTTGGTGTTTTATCTTGTCCTTTTTATCATGTTCTATGCTGCCTAGAATCATTTGATGGAAAGTAAGTAAGTAAGTAAAAGAGAGAGGAAGGAAGGAAAAAAAGGAAGGAAGGAAAAAGGAAAAGAGGGAAGGAAGGAGGGAAGGAAGGAAGAAGGAAGGATGGAAAGAAAGAGGGAGGGAGGGAAGGAAGGAGGAAAGGAAGGAGGAAGGAAGGAAAAGAGAGGAAGAAAAAAGGAAGGAAGGGAAGAGGAAGTAAAGGAAGAAAGGAAAGAAAGAGGGAGGGAAGGAAGAAGGAAAGGAAGAAGGAAGGAAAGAAAGAGGGGAGGAAGGAAGATGGAAAGGAGGGAAAAAAGGAAGGAAGGAAGGAAGGGGAAGGAGGGCAAGGTTGATAGATAAGTTAGCAAGCCAAACCCCCAAATTTCCTGAGCAAGAAGGCTTCGGAGGCTGGGAAGAGAGATCCATCACCGGGGGGGGGGGGGGGGTCCGCAGCGGGCTCAGGATCGAGGGCGCAAACGAGGCGCAAGAAGGGAAGCCCCGCGCGCAAAGCAGGGCGCACTCCACCAGCTCCTCCCCCACGTGGCTGGAGCGCCTTGCCAATCGATCCATGCGATCCCTTCGCAAACCAGCTCGGGGCTCGATTCCCGCAGCCTGGGAAGGTTATGGGATGGCGGCGGGGGTGGGACCCAGGCAGGGGGACGGGCGAAGGGGTGGAGCGCTTTTTGCGCAAGTGGCTTTCTGCGGGATTGTGCGCGCGCTGCGCTTCCCCCGGGGTCGCGATTGAGCGCATCTGCCCGGCTTTCTTTGCGACCCAGAGGTGCTCGGGCCAAGCGAGAGTCCTGAACCATTTCCCCATCCTTGTGATATTGGGGGAAAATTTTACTTAAAACAGCCCAGTCCTTTCAATAAACTCAAAAAGAGAAATAACAGCAAAGAGGAATAAACTCACATCTGGCTCGGGATCCAATTTTCCAATGCTACTTTTTTAAAAAAAAAAACACTAAGCAAACCCCAAAGCAGCTGGCATTTTAGTGCCACGCTTCACCTGTATTTTTTTTTTTTTTTTTGCGTTTTTATGGCATCCTGTGAAGTTAAAACAATTTTCTTTGCACCAATGCTTTTGAAAGCTGTAGAACTGATCTGCACCCACACCCCTCAATTGACTCACACTAGAAACACCAGGACATAAACTAACCCACCCAAATAAACTTATTTCTGCAGTTTGGATTTGTGGCCCTCCTTTCAAATACCCGCCTTAACGTTTGCAGTTCAATACATAAATGATCCACCAAACCAAACACCTTACTTTTGCAGTGGCATCCTTTCAAACATCTGCCTTACTTTGGAGTGTTTTTAAAAAGGGAGTCTCTCCTGGTTTACATCTTTTTGTGTTGGAAAGAATTATCCACACCTTGGTCACTACCAGATTCAGCTAACTTTATTTCAACAGCCTGGTACAATAAGGAAAAGAAAAAGAGAGAAAGAAAGAAGGAAAGAAAATGGAAAAGTTGTGGATCCCTTAACTATCGATGTCCGATACCTTAAATCCTGTCAGCTGGGTTTTCTGGGGCTGTAACTTTGCAGTATTTGGGGGCCTGATGTTTTCTCCTTCTCGATGTCACAGAAAAATAGATCCCTCAACAACACAGAGGTCACTTTCCTAGTCTGAGCATTTCTTTAAAAAAAAATCTCTGTGATTTTTGTGATGTTAAATATCTTCTCAAAGCAAAAAAAAAAAAAGTTTTCCAGAATATCAAAACGGCGTTGCAAACACAACACAACAAGGAGACCGCTTCTACATATAGTCCTTGACTTACGACAGAGCCCAACATTTCTGCTACTAAGGGAGACAGTCGTTAAAAGTAAACCTTGCCCCATTTTATGATCTTTCTCGCCACCGTTGTGAAGTGAATCGCTGCAGTCATTAAGTTGTGAATAGAATGTGGCTTCCCCATTGACAGCGCTTGTCAGGTGGTCGCAAAAGGGGATTGTGTGGCCCCGGGATACTACGAATGGTCATAAATATGAACCAGATGCCCAGCGGACGAATTCGGACCATGTGATCACGGCTGCAACGACTGACAGGGTGGAAAACGGTCCCAAGTCACTTTTTTTCCAGTGCTGTCGTAACTTCAGACACTAAATGAACTGCTTATAAGCCAAGGACTGAAAACACGAAGTAAACACCCATGAATGTAAGGCTTACAATCACGGTTGAGCCCGATATTTCAGTGGCTAAAAGTTTATTGTTGAAACGCCAACTGCACGGAGCGGGGGACTGTGGGGGGTGGGGGGGTGGAATCCCTTTTAGGGGTGCTCGGGGGCGCCCACTCCGTGCCCGTTGATGTGCGGGTGTGAAGACCCCGAGGCAGGTAGATTCTGCTCCATCGCGCTGGCAGCGGCAGCCAGGGAAGTGATGAGACTTTCCAGAGGCGAGCCTATCGGTTCCTGTCTCCAGTAGGCTTCGGAAAGAGAGAGGTTGCTGGCATCGCAGACGCCGTAGCTTGGCGGGACAAGAAGCCCATTAAGGCAGCAAGGAAAGAGAGACACACAGAGAGAGAGAGAAGCAGGAGGGGGAGTAAAAGGGGGGGGGAGAAGAAAGCGAGAGAGAAGCAAATGCGTTACGAAAACAGCAATTATCTTTAAGAAGGTAATAGCAGCATATTGCGGGGTCCCCATTCAGAACCAGATTTAGGGCTGGGGCTCTTTATAAAATAAATAAATATTCAACCTACAGGTAGTCTTGGACTTACAACCATTCAGACCAGGATTTCTGTCACTGAGCGAGACAGCTGTTAAGGGAACGTTGCCTCATTTTAAGACCTCCCTTGCCACCATGGTTGAAGGGAATCAATTAATAACGGAGTTGTTAAGCAAATCGGGTTGCAAAAGGGCTGAGATTTTAAAGGGAAAAAGCTTTTCTATCCCGTGGCTCTTGGTCTCTCTTTCTTATGCTTACAGGTAGTTCTTGACTTACAGCAGTTCATTTAGTGACCGTTCCAAGTTAACAACGGCACTGGGGGGGGGGGGAAGCGACTTAGGAACGCTTTTCACTTACAAACCGCTACAGCATTCCCAAGAGTCAGACGTTTGGCAGCTGACTCATATTTATGACCGTTGTTGTGTCCCAAGGTCCTGCAATCCCTTTTTGTGACCTTCTCACAAGCAAAGCCAGATTCACATAACAACCGTGTTACTAGCTGAACGACGGTGGTGATTAACTTAACAGCTGTGCCAACCAAGGTGGTAAAATGAGACAACCCTCACTTAACGACAGAAATGTTGGGCTCAATTTGGTCGTAAGTCAAGGACCACCTGTATTTTGTAGGGGGTAATTCTCCCCAATCCTGCCCCGTTTTCTTCCTTCCCTCCTCCAGAAGCCAACAGAAATTGCAAAAGTTTGCAGACAAGTTGCCGAAAAGAGAGGCACAAGCTAAGTGTAAGAGATAGGAGGAGAAGCAAGGCCATTCTCAAACAAGCTGTGGGTTAAATATATATATATAAATAAGAAATAATAAAGAAATAAAACAAAAACCAGCCCAAAGTGGACATTTCTTTTTCCTACCACAGTTTTATTTATAATAAAGCTGCAGCAATCATTAGGGGATTTGCATATATTATTAAAGATATACGAAAAAAACTAAGAATGTCGCCGAACTCTTAAATAAAATTCCAACAGAGGGGGACAAAAACCCCCACACCCATTTCAATCCCAAAACTGCAAGATTGTCGTGCAGCATTTCCCTTCTTAGAAGTTGCATGGAATTGCAAACAAGGAAATCAGAGTGGCTTGATGTTTTGTGGGAGACGGCCAGAACCAACCGGGAAATATTAAAAGCACAGGTTTAAAAATAAATAAATCAGTGTTTTAAAAAGTTTCAGAACGCCACCTCTGTCTCCAAAGTCAAAAGAAAAGAAAAGAAAAGAAAAGAAAAGAAAAGAAAAGAAAAGAGGCCAATGTCTGGTTATCCCAAGATTTCTCCGTGGATTTATTTGTACCTGGAAGAGTAATACTCCTCTTCCAGTTCGTAGAGATCGACGGAGATTTCGTCCCGCAGCGCGATCAGTTTCTTGTCGCATTCCTCCTGCAGAGCCCGCAATTGCTGATTGCGTTGGTTGATGGCTTCGTTGACTGAAGGGAAGTCATTAAGGATTAAGAATTGCTTGAGGTCAGATACCAGCCTCATAAGGGACTCGCCAGCTCGGACCTGATGGAAAAATCCATATACAATAGCACTCAGAGGCTTTGAAACTCATCAAATTTGGTACTCAACGCATTTTGATGCCAATTTTTTTTTTTTTTTTTGTCTTGGTACTCATCATTTGTTTGTTTCAATGCACAACCTAGAATTGTCAGTGTTGGCTGCCTTATGTCTCACTACATTATTCCTTATGGGAAAAATTCGGTACGCATCGTTTTTGGTATCGCACCTCCCGGAATCAATTAATGATGAGTAGCAAGGTACCTCTGTATTTGAAAACATGGCCAGATTTTATCCGTTCTTAGCAATTTCGGTCATGGATTATTTCCTGCCCGCTCTCTGGTGGGACAGAATTAAAACCCTGTTTGTGAGGGTGGATGGCAATGCCAACATTTCTCAATGGTCAATTTAATTAAACCAATTTGTTCAATGTATATGCGTAAATAACGTTAAATTAATGAAAGGCAGGTTCGCAACTCAGCTCCGAGCAGAATCATCTGCAGAATTTCTCAGCTGTAATCCACTCACAATATTTGCCGCTCTGACGTGCATCTCATAGTTATCTTGTTCGCTTTGAGTCGCGCGGGATACTTGGGTTTCCTCTTCAATCTGGAAAAGGAAGCAGGTACAAAAATCCAACCATCTGCGTGTTATTTGAAAAGCTATGAAGCATTTCCCCCTGTGCTCTAACAAAAACCTATTTCTCTCTTTCTTTGCATTGTGTAGTGTTGTTGGCTTACTGGAATAATCCGAAAATGTTCAAAGCAATATGCAATATAGCAAAGAAGCTGTGAACGCTTCAAAGGAGCAAAAATTTAGGCTGAAGAAGAAAGGGAGGAGAGTTCTCTTCTTACATATTTACCTTTGCAGACTTGATGATTTCTGTAAAGTTGTCCATGATGGATTTGACATCATCTTTCAGCCGCTTGTTGTAGGACTGGAGTAGAGTTTCTTTACTTTGGGGTAGGACCCGTTGCTGCGACATGGCTAGGAAAGGAATGGACCAAAAAACGGCATCACAAATGACAAATCCAGAGAAAAATGCATTAAAAAACTCAAATCTAAAACCATTTTTTAAAAAAACCCCGAAATATTGCTCATAGAAGTTGCATTTCATTTTTCAGGGTTAAAATTTGCACCTTGTGTGAATGTTATTCCTGAGCCACCCATTCGCCTGCAGGCACATCAATATTAAAAAGAAAATTAAGAGGTCCTAAATAGTCCAAAAATGGATGGATTTTTTTTCTGATATACATATACACACGTACATATAAGTATGAAGCAAATAATCAAGGTTGAAGAGCCAAGAATTAAATGTCAGAAACTAAACATATTCCATACCTATTTAACTAACAGAGTGGGGGCAGATCTGGAAGCAAGGCTGCATTCATACAACAAATGAAGCACAAACTAATATTTTAATCTATTGCACCGAACTATTCCTCATAAAGGAGGGAGGGCATTGTGAGAATAAGGCTACTGAGCCTTGCTCCACACATTTAAATGACCAGAGACAAAGCATTGCAAAAGTGGTTTGAGACAGCAATGCAAATTAAAAATTCACTTTCTTACCTTGTCTACATCCACACTTTTTACTTCTACTCTTTAATCAAGCATTTCTAATCCGAAAAGGGAGGGGTTTTTTTTTGTTTTTTTCAGGATTGGCTGAATCCTGAAAGCTGATTGGTTGTTTTGGGGAGGGAGACACTCTTCCGGTTGTATTCAGTGGCGCCGGCAGAGGTTGAACAACCCCCCCTCGAGGACTCTCTAGGAGCACGCAGAAGGGGAATAGTCGCTTATCATCTCTATGATGAAGAGAGTTCCGCATCTTCCCGTGTGATTGAGCGCCGACCCTCTCGCGAGAACCAGCGCGACTGCCATATATTACCCAGAAGGCACCGTTCTCTCTTTTGCCTTCTTCCAGCTAAGATGGTGAGTGCTTTCGACGCGTTGTGTCTACCGGGGGAAGAGGGGATCTTCCAATCCGGCGCCATCCGCCCATCGGAGGCCCGACTTGGGGGTCTTTACCGTGCCCCGGAGGGCCAGGAGCCCCTCCGAAGCGGAGGCTGCTTCTATTGGGAGGAAAAAACGACGGGAAGCCGGTCCTGGGGTGGGCTGGAGTTTTCGGCCTGGCTGGTTTGGGCGAAGATCGGCTGGAAGAAGCAGCTGAATTGCTGCTGCTGCTGCTCAGGCCTATCGGCCGATTCAGTCGAACCGATTAGGAGCCACAGCAATGAATTAGACCGGGCGTTTCCCTGACATTGAAAGCCTTGTGGACTTCAACTCCCAGAATTCCTACACCAGCCTTGCTGAGCTGAGAGATTCTGCGAGTGGAAGTCCACTAAGTCTTAAGAGCTGCCAAGATCCCTGGATTAGGTTTAACACAATGCCTGGTGCCCTCCTGATTTAGAGCAGGGATCTTCAAAAGACACACACAAGACTTGTGGACTTCAGTTCCCAGAATTCCCCAACTAGGCTAGCTGGGGGATTCTGGGAATTAAATCCGCCAGGTCTTAAAAGCCACCCAAGTTTGGTGATTCAGAATGATGGAAGCACGACAGTCTTAGTTGGGTGAGGTTTATGCTGGTCCAGAGTCAAAATTGATAATAAAAAAAATATTTTTTTAAAAAAAAAAAGTTATAGGAGATGAGATGCATGTACATATTCGGAGGTAGATGGCTGGAGTGATTCCAGATTGAACTTGTGCTTCGCTTTTCCAGCCAAAGGGAAAGAAGGCCAAGGGGAAGAAGGTGGCTCCGGCCCCTGCTGTGGTCAAGAAGCAGGAGGCCAAGAAGGTGGTCAACCCCCTCTTTGAGAAGAGACCCAAAAACTTCGGCATCGGTGAGTTGGGAAAGGAGGACGTCGATGGGCCTTTATTTATCTGCCATCGGGAATTGGAGCAGAATTGCTTTACACCGAGGCGTCTTTGTAATTTATTCGGCTTGGAGTCCTTGGTGATTCTGCGCTTGGTTGTTTTCTTTGGTCTTTGGACAAATAAGGAGCTATTTCCATAGACACTGTTGACTTCAGATCCTTTTCTAGATGTTATAATGTCCTGAACAGGTTGAAATCAAATTGTCGGGGAGATTTATTCCTGGATTTTAACATTCTGGAGAAATTGCCCTGCTTCAACTGTATTACAGCTGTTGGGGGAGCCGCCCTGGAGGTTAGGGTGAACCACACACTGCAATGCTTTCACTATATATTAGAAAACTTCATTGTTGCCCTCCGTTCTTCATGGAACTATCTATTCTTTATTCTTTTTGCTGTTACTTGAATGATAAAATAACAAGCTTTGATATTTCATTGCAAAGTGGTATAGAAAACTCACATAGGCTGAGTTAATGTATAGATTAAGGAGGGGAGAACTTGGCCTTTTGATCTGGTTTTTTTTGGGGGGGAGTTTAATTTATTAACTTGATATTAACATCTTGAACTTAATGACGTGAAAAGGGCGCAAGCAGATGATGCAAAAGAATATTTGCTAACTGAGTGGCGGTGCTGACAAGCCTTTCCACCAAGATCTCTGATGCTGGTGCCCCCCTTTTTTTTGCTCTGGAGGGAGGAAAACCGCCAGCTTACCAAGCAACCCTCCCTGAGTTAATAATGCTGTATCTCTCAGGCCAGGATATCCAGCCCAAACGAGATTTGACTCGCTTTGTGAAATGGCCTCGCTACATCCGACTCCAGCGCCAGCGGGCGATCCTTTACAAGAGGTTGAAGGTACCTCCAGCGGTCAACCAGTTCACCCAGGCCCTGGACCGCCAGACGGGTAAATTATGCTGGTTTTTTTTTTCTGTTTAATTATCAGAGGAAGGAGGGTGAGTGGCGGGCTGCAAGTGAAAAATGGGTCTTCCTATATAAAGGTAGTCCTTGACTTAAGAATTGGAATCCCAGCCATCAAGTTGTGCAGATTGTTAACAGTTCACATGACCGCACCCTGTTTTATGACCTACGTGGCAGTCATTAAGTGAGTAAATAGTTAAGTAAACCTATTATAGCCAGTGGACTTCTTTTTTGCCAGAAATGTTGCTTTCCAGCAAATAAAAGTTATAAATTGCAGTCATGTGACTGTGGGACTCTACAGATAGCCGTAAATTTGGGGGGTGGGTTGACAAGCACCCAAACTGCAATTATGGGATGAGGGGGTTGTGAAACTTGGAAGTAGCTTTGGGGAGGTTTGCCTTAGTGGTTGCTAATTACAGCATGCAGTTCACTGCTCAAAGTGTTTTTTGGTGCTCAGTTGCCAACTCGGAGCATAGTAATTTACGTGCCAATAAAAAAATGATTTGGGGGTGTGATTTTGTTGGCTACATTCTAAACAATGTAGGGTCCAGGGGAGGAAGGAATCCCTCTTTTGGGTTTAGCCTAAAGGAGAAAAGATTCTCTAATGTGCAGATGATGGAAGCAAATATCTGAGCTTTCTTGACGACTCCCAACCACCAAGATCGCTGATGCACAAGGATCTCCATTAAAGCTGCTAGAGGACGGGCAGAGAAAAATCCTCCAGTTCTCATTTAATGTCTTTATCTCCACAGCGACTCAGCTTCTGAAGCTGGCTCACAAATACAGGCCTGAGACCAAGCAGGAGAAAAAACAGAGGTTGTTGGCACGGGCAGAGCAGAAAGCCGCAGGGAAGGGCGACGTTCCAACCAAAAGGCCGCCTGTGCTGAGGGCAGGTAAACCGTTTTGAGCGTCTCTAGAAAGGGGCAGCTTTCCTGGGGTTTTCTCTCGACGACCGGCTATTGCACTGATGTGAGGATTTCTTCACCTGAACTGCAGATTGAAGACCAAAAGACATTGGCTAATTTAACTCTGAGCTTTAGCAGGTTGTCTCATTCCTCGACGGCATTATGTCCAGCTTAGTTAATGCTGTAAATTTAGCTTACTGGGGTTTTTTGGGATCTTTTCAGGTGTCAACACAGTCACAACTTTGGTGGAGAACAAGAAGGCTCAGCTGGTGGTGATCGCACACGATGTAGACCCCGTTGAGGTAAAGCAGATGGGAAGGCTTTGTCCGTTTGCATTTCCAAATTTTGTGCTATAGCGTGGTAGAGTCCCAAATTCAACACTGTTCTCTCCCAGGCATTGGAAGTAAAGGAGCAACAGCTTTCAAAAATAAACCTTTGGCTCCCAGGCAGGAATAAACAGCATTTCCAGTCTTTTTCCTTTCCTCTTTGATAAATGGGTGGGATGCACTTTAGCCTTGTATTTGAGGTGTAAAATGCAGGAATAAGGGACCTGGGATCTGTTCCCTTAATTGTTAATCTTCCATCTAAGAACTTCATTCTCTGGTAGGGAAAATGGCACCCTTGCCATCACTCTTGTCGGATTCTTTCATAAAGTGACTCACTTGGTTAATTTGGGGAGGGGGATAATTTGTGAGCCTGGAAGTAGCTGTTCTCAAAACCCTCTTGTGACTTGCTTGGGCTTGGCTATTGCAATGATGTTTGAATTTCTTCACCTGACTTCCCCGTGGAGAGCAAAACTAAACGAGCTTTTTAACACTGAGCGATGGCCGCTGCCCAGATCTCTCCCTTCTAGTCACTGTCAAAAATGCAGCAGGGTCCCCTTATGAAGAGGTTTTGTTTCCTTCTCCCTGGTGCAGCTGGTGGTTTTCCTGCCCGCCTTGTGCCGAAAAATGGGAGTCCCCTATTGCATCATCAAAGGCAAAGCCAGGCTGGGTCGCCTCGTCCACCGGAAAACCTGCACTTGCGTGGCCTTCACCCAGGTTAATCCGTAAGTAGCCCTGAAGGGAGGCCTGACTGGTCCTTCCTGTACACTGGATATGGGTGCCAACTGAGCAGTCATGATTTCAATAACTGCTTAGAAGGTCATAGTCTTGTGGTGGGTTGGAGCACCATTAGGAGAGCAGCTGAATACGGGTAGTCCTTGAATTACGACCACAGCTGAACCCATGACCCTGGGACACTGCAACCATCATAAATACGAGTCAGTGGCCAGGTATCTTTGAGTTTTGATCACGTGACTATGGAGAAACTGCAACGGTGTGGGAAATGGCAATAAGTCAACTTTTTTCAGTGCCATTGGGACTTTGGACAGGGGCTCAAAGGAATGAATGCAAGTCAAGGACTTACGTGTAAGGTTTATTACGTGAGATTTTCATCTTGAAATGGTGGCCTTGACCCGATCTTTTCTCTACGCAGTGAGGACAAAGGAGCCTTGGCTAAACTGGTGGAAGCTGTTAAGACCAACTATAATGAGAGATACGATGAGGTAAGACTGGGCCCGCCTGATGTTTGGTTTGGTTTCGTTCTGCTTGCGTAGCCTGCTAAAAATGTAGCCAGCAGGGGCTTTAAGAGGCTTGAAATATATGTTATTCAGCACTCTTTAATTGTTAGCTTCTGAGTTACCGCAATACACAATAATTTGGAAAGAGACTGTAATTGCAAAGAGGTAGCAGTATGGCTGAATCAAACGTTTCTTTTTGCAAACAATTTTTTTTTTTTCCCCTTTCCAGATTCGTCGCCACTGGGGTGGAAACGTCCTCGGTCCCAAATCTGTTGCTCGGATTGCTAAGCTTGAAAAAGCCAAAGCTAAAGAGTTGGCCACCAAGCTTGGATAATAGATATGTCAGTTTTTCTGTACATAAAAATAAAATTGTAAACAAAAGGCTTTTTTGTGTGTGCTTTGATTACTTTAAAGGGGTCATTTTTTTAAGTGGTGGGTAATATGCAACTCTCCC